TTTGTATGTTGTTTTGGGGATCTTGTAGAAATGCATTGTGCTGAAATATACTCTGTTGCAATTTGTTCCAAGGTAAATCTTACTTAGCCTCGACACAACAGTAATAGATGTTGGGGGCGGTCGGGTAGCCTAGTGGTTAAAGCGTTCGCTCGTCACGCTGAAGACCCGGGTTCGATTCCCAACATGGGTCCAATGTGTGAAGCCCATTTCTGGTGTCCCCCGCCGTGATATTGCTGTAATATTGCTAAAAGCGGCGTAAAACCATACTCACTCACTCACTCACTCACAAGATGTTAACACGTTGTTTGGTTTGATGTAAGAGGCGACTAACGGGATCGGGTGGTCAGGCTCGCTGACGATTGATGCATGTCATCGTATCCCAATCACTGGATTATCTGGTCCAGACTCGATTCTTTACAGACCGACGTCATATAGCTGAAATATTGCTGAGGGCGGCATTATACAACAAACAAACACACGAAATAACAGAAAGCTAGTGTGTTAACAGAATTAGGCAGATATATTTGGCCCCGGGCTGTAGTGGGAATGTATGGCAATTCATTTCCCATTCTATGATTTAAAGCAAAGTTTTAAAAACTGAGAAACGAACATCATATCCCATACTTGATTGGGCAGATTTAGTGTGAATGAGTGAGTTTGGTTTAAGGCCGGTTTTAGCAATATTCCAGCAATATCACGGCGGGGGACACCAGAAATAGGCTTCACACATTGTACCCATGTCGGGACAGATTAAGGGGTCTCATATAGTCTAGTCGGGTCTTCCGCCTCAGTTGTATATTATAATCAGTTCAAAGGATGAAACTTACAAGCAAATATTTCGCAATGTACTGCTAAAATAGAACAAGCCTATCGGTTGAAGAAACGCCGTGTTGAAATGTTTACATCCAGACTTTTGTTTATCCTTGGTGACAAGCTAAACAAACGTCTGTGTCTAAACAGTGTGTGAAGCAAGCACCTGATTCCTACAACATTCATTCTGATGTAAATCAATTTTACTATATAAAATTTATGTTTCATCATATTTCTTAAATCATTCTAACAGTAGCAACGTATAACTTACCCACCGAGTAAATCCTAATACGACGTCATTTCTGGAGATTCGAACGTGTGCTCGCAACTTGAGGCGACTTAACGGACCGGGTGGTCAGGCTCGATGAATTGGTAGATGCTCATGATGTCAATCACTTGATTGCCTGGTAATTTACAGCCCATCGTCACACATCTGGAATAGTGCAGAGTGCGGCATTAAACAACAATCAGACACTATCTAATGACATTGTTTTGCCACAAAGACACTATATATAGTCACCTCAAATAAATAAAAGCATTTAAAACCATTCCATAGTCATAGTTAATCCCTTCTGAAGAGAGAGTCGATTGTAGGATTCCAACTATATTATAATCATGTGTTTATGACTCACTGTCCAATAGTGATGATACCAGGTGTTCGCGAAAAGGTGAGCGCACCTCAACGGTGCCACCCGTCACAAACACATGCAAAGTCACAGTATAGCCACTTTGGTCATTCTAGCCATTTTAAAGTAACTCCACAGCCAAATAACTCTCCACCTAAAACCCAATGTATTTTGCTGTAAGACTTTTTCCGCCTGTGCCATCCTAGGTTGCCATTAACACCTGTCGCTGAAACAGAATCTGAGGCTTAAAACTGACTGAACAAAGAACCTGGTACAGGTGATTACTGTGTGTATTAGAGTTGGACAAACTCGACCGGTAAACAAAAGCACATAGCTCTATTTGTCTTTGGTTCGGCGGATCCTAGCACGCGTGGTGTGGGATTGCAACAGATTGGTAACATACGGTTATTGATTGGAGACAGCGCAACAGAGGAGTGGGGATATGTTTATTTTCAATGCCGACATGTTTCAGAACTTGACCAAAAAAAACAAACTACCTGCCACAAAAATTACATTAAGGATTAATTCTTTTTTTAATGATCAGGCTCATTATCATGTTTTGAAGCTGAAGCTGAAAATATATCTGATCTCCAAAGAAAATCAGTGTATTTATCGTGGTTTGCCTTTAGCGGTGTACATGGAAATTTATTTAAACGTCCTTGAAGGTAAGATAAAAAGTAGTCAAGGAAGATCGAAGAAGAATACAACTTATCCATGTAGACAAAATACTTTCTTTTTTTTAATTGAACATTAATTGTTCGGGGTTTTGTTAATGCACACTGCACACGTGGATACTCCATGTTAAAGTTGGGCCAACCAATGCTGGTCGTAAGTATATAATGTGTATGTGTATATGATGAAAGCCTGTAAATAAACACTATTGAGATGAGGAGTGGTCCGCAGCGTTTGGGTATGCTGTCAGTCACTGAGCCTGAACACACGCTCCGTTAACAGCTGCACGTTGCAAGGGACTGCTTGCTTGTGTGTTGTTCAACGCCGCCATCAGCAATATTCCAGCTGTATGGCGGCGGTCTGTAAATAATCGAGTCTGGACCAGACAATCCAGTGGTTGATATCATGAGCATCGATCTACGCAATTGGGATACGATGACATGCATCAACCAAGTCAGCGACCCTGACCACCCGATCCCGGTAGTCGCCTCAAATGACAAGCATAGTCGACTGTTACAAGGATTAACCTTGAATGTTTCACCAATGAGTTAAAATCCTCCCTTATCTAAAATCAATGAGATTTGTTGGCGTGTGGTGAGACTTTGCCAATTTTCAGAGACATTTTGTCCTCCCGAAGTGGAAACTGTATTTGATATTCGGTATTTGTGACTCCGAAATTATGTTTTATATTTTATATATATATATATATATATATATCCTCCGATATTTTCGAACATTAATTATTCCACTGTAAGTATTGAAAAATGTTCGCATTAGTATTTATATTTCTGTTCATTGTCTACTTTGGGAGAAAATACATTAATATTTATGAATTTCAGTCAATTGTTGACTTTAGGAGGAATTATTTGCGAGAATAATTATAGATAAGGCATGTTTACCACCATCAGCTGTTCATTTCGTTGGCATGCGGAGAACAAATAATTTCTAGGTCTTCGACAATGTCTGTTAAGATCGTAATTTAATATATTCAAAGCGATGACTTGAATAGCGACAGTTGTAAATTGTGTTACAGTTTGTTGGCACAAAATATATAATTTACATTCCAACGAGCCTGACCACCCGATCCCGTTAGTCGCCTTTTACGGCAAGCATGGGATCCTGAAGACCTATTCTACCCCGGATCTTCACGGGACGCACACTCATGAGCAGAATGATGATTGTATTTTCAAGTATATTGTGTATAAGTGCAGTTTAGTGCCCCGTAACAATTTGTTTGTTTGTTGATAAATTACTTCAAAAGTCCAGTTTCAACCCATGCCGAACAAGGCTGGAATTCCTGGGCTCGATCGTAGCGCCACCAGTGGCTATTACGGGTTATGTCCCTTCTGTATCTCGCCTATAGACCATTCCGATTCCACCTCTCGTATCACTTACATTTGCTTCTAACAAAATGGCGGCGCCCAGTCAAGACGATCTGATCAATAATCAAAATCTGCGTTGTGATAAAACGGGCCTTACACCGCAAAGTGCATCAAATCACGTGAGCACCTTGATTAAAAACATGAAAAGATTTAGAAAATATCTGCTGACAACGAGTAAGCGGTGCTCATGCTTTGCAAATCCTGCAATCAACCGAAATCAGTATGACAGTTTACGAACCGGATTTCGATTTAGTCCTGCGGTTTTGATTGGACTGTGCAAAGACTCGTTAGTCCAGCTAAAATATAGCTCCATAATACCAGCCTAGTTCGGCAAGCCTGGAAAGTGGACTTTTATGGTCAGATATCTCACTTGCCTCGGGAAGATGCACTCTGTAATATTCCAGCTAAATGTTTATGACGGCGGTCTGTAAATAATAATCCGGACCAGACAGTCCAGTGATTGACATGAGCATCGATCCACGCCATTAAGACACGATATCAAGCATCAACTACGTCAGCGAGCCTGACCACCCGATCCCGTTAGTCGGCTCTCATGACAAGCATGGGTTGCCGAAGACCAGTTCTAACCCGGATGTTCACAGATCCGCATATCAATAATAATAATAATAATCATTTTGTTTGTCTTTTCTTACTTTATGTTTAACGCCGTCGCACTCAGCAATATTAAAGATTTGTGGCGGCGGTCTGTCAAGAATCAAGTCTGCACCAGACAATCCAGTGATCGATATTGTGAGAACCGATCCACGCCGTCGCACGTCGATGTCGCACAATCAACCAAGTCACCGACCCTGACCCTCCAAACTAGTTGGTCGCTGTCCCCATTTGTCAGACATCTTATGATTACAATGATGATGGTTGAGTGTGTGTGTGTGTCTATATATATATATATATATATATATATAGTAATAATTAAATAAGTGGAGTAAGATTGAACTTATTTAATTATTACTATATTGTGCCTGAGAGTTAGAACTTTACTGTGCTTTATATATATATCAATTGCTTTATTTTCATAACATATTGTTACATCCTGAAATTGTTTAAATAAATAGCATGATCTCTTTTTTCATTTTCATGTTTACACCAACCAGGAATTCCCCAGGATAATAATTTCATTTACTATCATTATTATTAATTATCTTAAATTACATATGATCGTCATCTGATTATTAAGCTTTGTTTAGATGATAGTATTTTGACACCGGAACCCTAAACACTAGTTTACGACCCTGCAAAAAGAGAGATATGCACACATACAGAACATTTTCTGCAAAATATTCTTTGATACTTGGAAACACGTCCATAAAGTAGTTTCATGAAGTGACGTTTCTTTTGCGGTTCAGTATACGATGTGAATTGTTTCTCAGGGGCCATATGATGACTTGTCGAAAAAGTGCGATATGAAATCTGCAAATATTTTACAAACAAATATTGGATTTGGTTCTATTTGCCCTGATGTCACACGACGGTTAAGAGAACAGTATAAAATGCACAGCCTTGCCTGGATCATTGGAAGGACAAGAAAAGTACTCAAAATGATGTCAGGTCTTTTTCTCGCTCTGGCTGTCCTAGCCGGTGCCGCCAATGCATGCAGTAAGTGACAACTCATTAATGTGTTGTTGGGATTGCAAACTGGAATTTGTCAACAAGATTCTTGTAATGACCGCAATAAGCGACATGCGTCTTGACGCTTTGCTGCCCGACAGCTAAAGCATTGTCGGAAGATTTTGTTTGTTTTTGTTTAACGCCGCATTCAGCAATATTCCTGCTATACGACGGTGGTCTTTAAATAATCGAATCTGGACCAGACAATCCAGTGATTGACATCAAGAACATTGATCCACGCAATTGGGTTACGATGACATGCATCAACCAAGTCAGCGAGCCTGACCACTCGATCCCGTTAGTCGCCTCTTACCACAAGCATAGTCGCCGTGTACGGCAAGCATGGGTTGCTGAAGACCTATTCTACCCCGATCTTCACGGGTCTTCTTTCTTCTTCAATAGTTGGCGCCGCAAATCGAAAAACGAATGATGCGCATAAGATCTTAAGGTTTAAAGGTTAAACCTTTGCGGTGAATCCTCATTTAGAAATGTTCTGCAGGGCATTGGATTGGGGCAAGTGCAATCATTTTGAACTGTTGAGTTTATTGTTTTAATTCACCTATATGACGGCGGTCTGTAAATAATCGAGTCTGGACGCGAGTGCCCAATGACTGACATCTGGAGCAATGTGCATCAAGTCAGCGAGTTTTACACTCATGAGCCCTTCGGTTTTGAAAGAACGGTTGCGACAGTCGGCAAATCTCAAAATCGCTTCTTTACTGTTATTCAGTCTATGATTGCGAAATTCGATACCATTATCTGTTTCATATTTGTTTAAACTTTTATTCAGTCTATGAAAGTAGCTGACAATATATCCTTTTCTACTTTTATTCAATCCAGGATTTCAGTACATACTTTTTTCCACTTTTTTTCAGTCTATGATTGCAACAGTCTGTACGGCTCCCTATACTGCACTGATTGTGAGCCAACGACGACAACGACGACACTTCCCCCACCAAAGTGTATGGCAAACAACGATGATCGACTCTGCTGTGACACTGGTATGGCACGGCGATAGTTTACGTTACTTCATAAAGTGATGGACAATCACTTGTGCGTTGGGGCTGGAGATGGGTGGTGGTGGTGGGGTTTTAAACAAAATTCACAGACCCTTCCAGAAAATTAAATGGTCGCTCCCCCAAAAAGGAGTTTTAAAATTTACTTACTAAGAAAAGGGAAGTTTTAACGTAAAACCCAGTGTGACAACTGTAAATCCGCGTATGCACGTGTAAAAACTTCATAAACGCAAATGTATATTGAAATCCATTCTTATAAATAGATACGTCAACAATAACGTCAGAATGCTTAAATATTAACTCGAGAAAACTGTACGCAATCAGTGACAACGTACAGCCAAATAATGCAATACAAGCCCCGCCCATTCTGTTATCAGCCAATCAGGAAACATTTGTCCGTTATTGAGCGTGGCCTATTTTTCGGTTTATATCCATGACATCACATGTAACATGAGGACGATTCATTATCAAGAATGTTTGACAGGCACAACATTCATGAAGCATTATGTGTCATCCGTCTGGGTTAAGGCAGGAAGTTAACAACATTATTTGGGGCGCTGGGAGTCAAAAGTCCTGCGTTTTAAGATTTGGGGAAATCTGTGTCAACTACATAATGATTGAACAACTACTTGATGCTCATAAGGCCAAGACGTTGTCATTAGTGCCACGTAGGAAACTGAGGCACTCTTTCTGTGAAATTAAGGGAAGCTGGCATTGGCCCGATCCTACATTTATTTTATTTAAAACTTTAACCAGTGAATCATTTTCTATTATAGATCCATCCGCATGTCCAGAGGTTGACTGTTCGTGTGAAGCGCCAGACTCCATATACTGTCAAATTTGTAAGTATGACTCATGGCGTCTTCTGTGCTCTTAGAACAACCAGGTCAGAATTGGTCTTCAGCAACCCATGCTTGTCGTAAGAGGCGACTAACGGGGTCGGCTGGTCAGGCTTGGTTGATGCACGTCATCGTGCACGGGTGCACGGGGGCACGGGTGGCCCAGTCGTCTAAGGCGCCGCGATTAGCTGTGCAGAGTTGCGTCCCTTGGGCACGCCAGAAACCTATGATTGTGGGTTCGATTCCCGGTTCGCCCAAATTATGTTTCTTGGTTTGTCAGCACCATATCCGTGCTCGTGGGTTTCACCGAAGTGGTAAACGCCTGAGACCTGCATCACTTCGGGCTTTCCTCCCACATCAAGCTGACACGCCGCGATTTAACTGGTATACTGTTAAAAGCGGCGTTTAACCCAACTCACACACTCACTCACTTACATACATTGAAGGTCAAAAGACCCAATACTGGTCACGAACACCTTCATGTTAGAGATTCTCGTCCCTTTTGCACTCATTTTATATACAATCATGTACTTGATCAAGAATACCAAAATTCAATAGTGTATTTGAGAAAATGGTTGTTATGTTAATATGTCCGATAATTTGCACTTGAAATGTCGAATAGAGGTGACTGACGGGATCGGGTGGTCAGGCTCGCTGACTTTGTTGATGCATGTCATCGTACCCCAATTGCGTGGATCGATGCTCATGATGTCAATCACTGGATTGTCTGGTCCAGACTCGATTACTTACAGACCGCATCATGTAGCTGGAATTTTGGTGAGGGTGGCGTTAAACAAACAAACATATATTTAACAGATATGAACTTAGACATTTTAAGTGGGACAAAAATACGGTCCAGTAGCTCGTCCATGTCATGCGGTAAAATGTAATATGATGCTGAAGACAAATTCGTGAGAAGAGAACGATAATTGGCATTGTTTTCTTTTGGAATTTTCAGTTTCTTGCGATTCCGTCTATAGCAATATGTGCTCAAAATGTTACGTACCGCCAACAACAACGACAACAGCTACGACAACAACAGCGGTGTCAGTACCAGTCTTCTGTCTTGGAGGAGGACGTAAGTGTGTTTTATATCAACAGAAATCAATACAATGCATTTTTTCTTTCCTTGCACCTCGTGAATGATTCATATTGCTTCTATCTGATTCAGTCGGGCGGTCGGGTAGCCTAGTGGTTAAAGCGTTCGCTCGTCACGCCGAAGACCCGGGTTCGATTCCCGACATGGGTACAATGTGTGAAGCCCATTTCTGGTGTCCCCCGCCCTGATATTGCTGGAATATTGCTAAAAGCGGCGTAAAACCATACTCACTCACTCACTCTGATTCAGTCATCGGGGACAAGTGTGCACACTTCAGGGCCCACTTGCACAAAGCGATCTTAGCGCTAAGAGTATTGTAAGCCTATGTTAAAGTATGGTAGTTACGATCATCTTAGCGCTAGGATCCCTTTGTGCAAGTGGGCTCAGGACTTAAAGCACCCGAACACCGGGTGTCCTGCTTCTCCCGTTGCCTTCTTGGGAGTTGAAATCCCAGTTGTGCAAATATTATTCATATACCATCCCTCTGCTAGCAGAGCGATGGGGTAGGTTGTGCGTTCGATTCCCCATGGACAATGCTCAAGACCCGTGAAGATCCGGGGTAGAATAGGTCTTCAGCAACCCATGCTTGCCCTTTCATAAAAGGCGACTATGCTTGTTGTAAGAGGCGATCGGGTGGTCAGGCCCGCTGACTTGGTTTATGCATGTCATCGTATCCCAATTGCGTGGTTCGATGCTCATGATGTCAATCGTCAAAGAAAAGACATCTTAATCATTACTAAATTTGCTTGGCTATCCATAACTAGTATACCTTTAGTTATTTAAGAATGTAGACCAGATATCCTGTCCAAAAAATACGCTGATGCAACTATTGTCATTTTCTGTGTCGTCAACGCTGTAGTTGGTAATAATGTTTCACATAGAATGCCTCTGCAACACATCTACTAATTCACCACATGGCATATTTGATATATCTAGAAAGTACTGAGACGCCAAGATGTCAATCACTGGATTGTCTGGTCCAGATTCGATTATTTACACACCGCCGTCATATAGCTGGAATATTGCTGAGTGCGGTGTTACATAACAAACAAAAAATGCTTAAAGTCCATTTCTGGTGTCCCGCGGCATGATATTGCTAGAAGCAACGTAAAACCATACTCACTCACTGCTCTGCTAGCACCACAACAGATTGGTAAGTGTTTGCCAGCTCCGTCATTGGGGCATGATGAATTCTGAGAACCTGATTGATGGTGAGGAGATTATGGTCTGGATCCTTTTTCTGTGGACATATATTGATTTTGATAATGCTTTATTGTTTGAAAGGCCATAGACCCAGATAACAAACATATTTAGTTGGTGGCGTGGACAAATAGAACATCAATGTAATTATATCGTGAATAATATAGTACACGGATACACGACAAATAGTGCTATATTTAAGAGCCGACTGACAATAACATTTACGATCTTCATATAGTTTACAAACTTTCATAAAATCACGAGGCGAATTCTATGGTGTTCATGGTCATTAGGGGACAGGGGTGTCCAAGTAGTTAAATGCACAGTGGTCTTCGCATGATTGCCTCCCTCAGATGTACCAGGATCCGATGATGGTGTTTTCTAATTCCAGATTCGCCCTGATTATGACCATTCTCCAAAAGCACCTAAGCGTTTATACAACAAACGTCTACGATCTGACTGTTTTTTGCCTTCCTCTACTATATGCCGAAATACTGCCCAAGCAACGTTAAATACGTGTAACTCATTCAATATTCATTATTTCCAGTGTACTGTGGGTTTGATATCTGTTGTCCTGCCGACGCCTGTGCGGAACATCCAAACTGTTTCGGTAAGTCTCTTTTGTGTTTCTCCTCGGATAATTTGCACTCACAGCAATATACGAAGGAGCGTTGTGAATGTATTCATAGTATAACACAGCCAAAGAATCTAAAAGGATTCCTGGGGCCATCGAATGGTTTTATTGAAAAGATAGAAAAGACTGGCCATGTTTCATTTGGAACCAGCAGCGTCAAATACTCAGTAAGGCATGCAGATTTTAAAATACATCACTTTTATCGACATTGCGCAGTAGAAAGGTCATCCGGTTTTATTGAAAAGATAGAAAAGACCGGCCATGTTTCATTTGGAACCAGCAGCGTCAAATACTCAATAAGGCATGCAAATTTAAAAATACATCACTTTTATCGACATTGCGCAGTAGAAAGGTCATCCGTATATTTCCGCAGCTTTCTGGCTTCATATGCTTAGTGATGACTAAATTTTTCTGATAAATATTTTTCAACTAAACGTATGAGAAAAATACATATCCATTTTGCAAAGAGGAATATCACATTGTTTTCAATTGTGAAATTCAGAGGGACAAAAAACAAGAAAAGTATTATTTCGCTCTCAAGAACTTTTCGAAGTCCATTTGACAACGTTTTCAACCAATTAGAATGCAGCATACCCTTCCATTTGTTTTACAATGTAATGCAACATCATCGTTTTAAAATAGAAAACACCCTTCATGTGAGTATCTCTGTGCATTACCAGCATTCATACTTGTCCATGCCATACCCTCTTTGGTGGGCATAATAAAGCGGAACTGAGAGAAATGATAGGTGTGTTTAAGGTATGAAGGCACTTAAACAACAAGGCTGTGTAGTTGATTAACGACACGTACTGGTGTCGGTTATGTACATTGTAGTGCCACCAGAGACAACGACAGAGGAGCCAGAGGAGCCGGAGACAACGACGACAGAGGAGCCAACGACGACTGAGGAGGCAACGACAACGGAGGAGCTGACGACAACGGAGGAACTGACAACAACGGAGGAGCCAGAGACAACAACGACAGAGGAGCCAACGACAACGGAGGAACCAACGACAACGGAGGAACTGACGACAACGGAGGAACCAGAGGACCCAGAGACAACAACGACAGAGGAGCCAACGACAACGGAGGAACCAACGACAACGGAGGAGCCAACGACAACGGAGGAGCCAACGACAACGGAGGAGCCAACGACAGTTGCCGCTGTGACAAGTACGTACTTTTGAGTGAGAGAATGAGTTGGGTTTAACGCCTCTTTAAACAGTATTCCAATTATATCACGGCGTGTCAGCTTAATGTGGGAGGGTAGCCCTAAGAGATGCAAGTCTGGGACGTTTACCACTTTGGTGAAACCCTCGAACACGGATATTGTGCTGAAACATACTCAGGGCGAACCGGAATTCGAACCACGGTTATAGGTTTTTGGCGTGCCTACGTTACTCTACACAGCGAACAGCGGCGATACAGACGACTGGGCCACCCGTGACCCCTTCGTACTTTTGACAAGAGAACAAAAACTTTAAGTTGGAAATTAATTATTACCTACGAGAGCAAACATATCGGGTTCATAAAAATCATATGTGCCCTTGGGTCATATCACGTCACGAGACGTGTATTGTTTCCGTGATCCGGACGGCATTTTTGACGTCATTCGAATCTCTTTTGTGACGTGAGGCCTAAGCCTAGTGGTTAAAGCGTTCGCTCGTCACGCCGAAGACCCGGGTTCGATTCCCGACATGGGTACAATGTGTGAAGCCCATTTCTGGTGTCCCCCGCCGTGATATTGCTGGAATATTGCTAAAAGCGGTGTAAAATCATATTCACTCATGCAGCATGCACTCGCGCTGTTTCTCCCACAACCAACCTGATTTCTCTGAAGTAAAAAAACGTCCAGTCGGTAGGGAAATAGTACATAAGTACATGTATAATTGTAGTATTCTCCTAACAACTACTTGCAATTCCAGGGTGTGCATATAATGACTTCCTGACAACAACAAGGATATTAGGTGGCACTGAAGCAACGTCGTGCCAGGATGCACCAGGATTTGTCAGTATCAACGTTGTAGTTCCCGGGGGTGATCCTCTACCAATCTGTTCTGCCGTTCTCGTCTCTCCTGACACTATCTTCACATCCGACTTTTGTATGACACAGCTGGCTGCGATTCCAGAGTACGTGAAAGTAGTAACATTTGTTTGTCGTTAAATTAGTTCCTATTCAAATCAGATCAAATGAGGTGAAATGGGGTTTAAAGCCACGTCCAAGATTATTACACTTATATAGCGACGTGCATGCACGTGTGTGGCTGATTGTACTTGTCCAGACTAATGCCGATTTTATAGTGCTTGCCGAGATACCATACCAGTTTAACCTGAATACCCCACTCAGATACAGTATACTGACTTCCATAAGACCAGTTCTGTTTTAGCCCCTTAATGCCGAGCGCCAGACAGGTTAACAACAAGTACCATCTTTTGACGTATTTTGTTCGAACCCCGGACCAACCGCTCTACGGGCAGACGCTCTACCACTATACCGGCTCCTTATAGTTTCCTAATGCCCCATGCTTGTGGTAAACTCTGATAAGATACTTATGAAATTAGGTTCCCAGTGGTGGTGAGGTGAAATGGGGTTAACGTCGCGTTCACGATTATTGCACGTGTAGCCGTGCGTGCGTGCGTGTGTATGTGGTTACGTGTACTAGTCCCGACTTATGCGTTTTTTACAATGCAAGCCCAGTGAGATACCACACCGCAGTTTTGACATGGATAGCTCACTGAGATACACTGCACTATTAACCAACGAGACTTTGTTTTATCCCTTAATGCTGAGCGACGGGCAAGGAAATAAGTACCATCTTTTCCGTCTATTGGTATGACCCGGCGGGGCATCGAACCTCCGACCTTCCGTACTGTTTTATTGCTGCTGGTGGCTATATACAATATTCACACACCAACCACTCTGAAATTTATGATAGCAAGGAGTCGAAGAGTTATGTGAAATTATCTCGTCATTTATTGGTTTTAGGGCATTCACAGTTGCTGTCAATGACTTCAGCGGTACACAGGTGGCCACAATCCCTGCAAGAACAGGCGAAGGTGAGAAACTCCGGCTCGTAGTATAAAACCCAACGAAGGACGCAGAATAAATCCCTTATACCCCGCCACGAGCAAGACAGACTGTACGTAGATTTCTGATGCAGAATAAATCCCTTATACCTTCGCTTTGAAGCAAGCTGACCTCTTCTCAATCGAACAACAGTTTTCTATAAATTTTGAATTTGTTTTAATTATTTTACAATGTCATAATTACCCCGACTGATCCTGCTACAACCTATTATAAAGATATTATAAAGGGATATATTCTCCCGCTCTCATTTTTTGCCCTCCCAACTGGGATACATAGTATTTAATCAAGATCACGTGAACCAATCAGATCTCAACATTCTGGGCAAGATAACGTGCTTTTGCATTTTGTTATGGATTTCAACTTCGTATTTTTTCAATGCTTTGGTACATTTACCAGAACCTATATCAACCAGTTGTTACAAACTGTGATACTACTGTAATGTTATCGCGCTTCATACCAGAGTTAAGCCTGTCTTCCTGTCGAATGTTCGAATGGGATAAGTACGTATATATAAAGTGAATGTGTTATTATGTATCTCGCTTATAGTTTCAAAAACAGTACAATTTATTGATGAATACGGAGAAAGTGAAAATATCAAGATTCAGTTTCAGACTGCGATTATGAATTTCAGTTGTGTTTACTGTTAAAATAACCTCCAAGACCTCCTGTGGCCAGAGACCTCAGCCGCTCCAGAATCAGTTCTTAGCGCTATGATTGTCGAAAATCAAATAGTTTGAGGTGGGTGAACTAGAGCTTAACGTCGCGCTCAAGGTTATTGTCCTTTTATTGCGACGTGCGTGCGTGCGTGTGTGTGTGGCTGTTTGTATGTCCGGACTATTGCTGAGTTTATAGTGCAAGCCCACTGAGATATCATGCCACAGTTTAACATGAAAACCCCTCTCAAGACACAGGATACACTCTACAAGCCGACCAGTCCTTGTTTTAGCCCCGTAATGCCGCGCGCCAGGCAGGGTAACAACAAGTACCATCTTTTAACGTCTTTTGTTATGACCTTCCAGTCTCAGGGCAGACGCTCAACCACTAGACCACGGAGGCAGTTCATATAGCTTAACATAACCTAAGATAACTGCTGGAAACTCTTTCGAAGACAGGGTCCAAGTCTTCCATCAAACATGACTAAATCGCACACCGACCATCGCGTACTACTGTAAAACGGGTTTCCAGAAACCACCGAAATCAGAAACTGTGCAAAACGATTGAGATTGTTTCTTTCAGACGGTCTGCTAACTCTTGACGCACCCTTGACCTTTGATGGGGCTAGTTGCCTCTTGCCTGCCTGTATTGCTGACGATACAATGGAGCTAGACATGGCATCCTGCACGATGTTCGGCGCAGGAGTCATCGACGGTACGACTCATCCATGTATCCATTCAGTTTGTTTGTTTTGTTTGTTTGTTGTTTAACGCCCCACTCAGAATTATTCCAGCAATATGACGGGGGTGGGGGGACACCAGAAATGGGCTTCACACATTGTACCCATGTCGGGAAAATCGAACCCGGGTCTTCGGCGTAATCAGTGGGACTTGTCTCTTGTTATTTTTCCTTACGACATTCCATTTCTTGTAGACATATATTCACAAAAGCGTGTGAGATACTTGCTGTGCAAGATGAAGAGCATCTTCCCGGGGCAAGAGAGTTAACTGACGTTAAAAGTCCAGTTTCCACCCTTGCCGAACTAGGCTGGAATTCCTGGGCTCGATCGTAGCGCCACCAGTGGCTATTACGAATAATGTCCTTTCTATGCGTCTCCTATTGACCAATCAGATTCAACCTCTCGTATCACTAGCATTTGCTTCAAACAAAACGGTGGCGCCAAGTCAAGACGATCTGATCGATAATCAAGATCTATATTGTGATCAAACGAGTCTTACATCGCGAAGTGCATCAAATCACGTGAGCACCTTGATTAAAAACATGAAAAGATATATAATGATCTACACCGAAACATTGCTATTGCAGTATAATAAAGAAGTTGTTATCCAACAAAAATGTGATTTGTCACCCCTCCACTTCTATGAAAATAACTATTCTTTGGTTTCATTGCTACAGAGACAGCATCAACATTCCAAGGAATCCAGTCAGCTGCGGTCTCCATCACGGGAACGTGTACTGACAACACCAACGTCTGCAGCGAATCAACGGCTCAAACATGTATTGTACGTGACTTCCACATTTTTCTTCAAGAGACCCCCCACCCCCTCCTAATTCTTTTGAAGCATACTGAACATTAATAGATTAGCTAACTTAAAAGGTGATCGGGAACACCAAAGTACACGTATTACAATACTATAAATAATTTGTTTGGAGATGTATTTTCACCAAAAGACGGTTACTTTTTACGGAAACATCCCTTCCTCTTGTACCTTAAAGTTTGTCTTTTTAAACGATGGCGTCAAATAATTTCAGCCAAACGTATCAGGAAAAAGGAACTATATACATTTTGATTTCTATGCAAGGAGGGTAGCCCAGAGGTTAATGCGCTGGTTAGTTACCCTAGGTTCTGGTTTATAACCCATGATGAGCGTCGTGTCTGAAGTCTGTTATAGTATGTTTGTTGCTCAAGCTACACTCCGCAATATCCCAGCATTGTGACGGTGGTGGACTGTAAATAGCCAAGTCTAGGCCAGACAATCCAGTGATTGACATTATATTTGTTTGACGACGCACTCAGCAATATTCCAGCTATACGACGTCGGTTTGTAAACAATCGAATCTGGACAAACCAGTGATTGACATCATGAGCATCGATCCACGCAATTGGAATACGATGACATGCAACAACCAAGTCAGCGAGCCTGTCCACCCGATCCCGTTAGTCGCCTCTTACGACAAGCATAGTCCCTTTTACGGCAAGCATGGGTTGCTGAAGACCTATTCTACCCCAGGTCTTCACGGGTCTGACGTTATGAGCCATGTCCCACACCGTCGGGGTACGATGACACGCCATCAACCAAGTCACCCAGCCTGACCCCCCAATCCGTTCAGTCGTCTCTTACTACCTGCACAGGATGCTGGAGACCTATTCAGTCCCAACGGGAGGCAATTCGTGGTATGGCTTGGAGTGAGTGAGTAAGCATGGTTTTACGCCGCTTTTAGCAATATTCCAGCAACATCACGGCGGAGACACGAGAAATGGGCTTCACACATTGTACCCACGATGTGGGGAATCGAACCCGGGTCTTTGGCGTGACGAGCGAACGCGAGACCACCACTTCGTGGTATGGCTGGGATATCGCCATGCTGACTCATTCACTGATAAACACATACACATTCTAACATCATCTGTTTCAGGGGGACGCAGGTGGCCCTCTGATATGCCCCGACCAGACCGGCCAGTTAGTTACAGCAGGTCTTGTTGCCGACATGCCGCCCGTTTGTTCAGGCCCACCCGAGTTCGTCAGTCTCCTCCCTGACGCATTTGACGCCTCGGTTCTTCCTGCTTATTAAATCCAATCAGTGGGACTTGTCTCTTGTTATTTTTCCTTACGACATTCCATTTCTTGTAAACATATATTCACAAAAGCGTGTGAGAGACTTGCTGTGCAAGATGAAGAGCATCTTCCCGAGGCAAGAGAGTTAACTGACGTTAAAAGTCCAGTTTCCACCCTTGCCGAACTAGGCTGGAATTCCTGGGCTCGATCGTAGCGCCACCAGTAGCTATTACGAATAATGTCCTTTCTATGCGTCTCCTATTGACCAATCAGATTCAACCTCTCGTATCACAAGCATTTGCTTCAAACAAAACGGCGGCGCCCAGTCAAGACGATCTGATCGATAATCAAGATCTACAGTGTGATCAAACGAGTCTTACATCGCGAAGTGCATCAAATCACGTGAGCACCTTGATTAAAAACATGAAAAGATATATTCTGTTGACAACGAGTTATCGGTGCACAAGCTTTGCAAATCCTGCAGTCGACCGAACTATGCATGACAGTTTACGAACCGGATTTCGATTTCGGTGCGCGATTTTGATTGGACTATGCATAGACTCGTTAGTCCAGCCAAAATGTAACTCCATAATTACCTGCCTAGTTCGGCAAGGGTGGAAACTGGACTTTTACAGTCAGTTAACTCACTTGCCTCGGGAAGATGATCGGGTGGTGGTTCTGGGAATGAACTGATATACAGAAGCCTGTTACAGATGAACACAGGAGAGGCATAGAAGGGACAAAACTCGTAATAGCCACTGGTGGCGCTACGATCGAGTCCAGGAATTCCAGTCTAGCTTGGCAAGACTTCAAGACATCTTTGGAAGATGCCAAGTCAGTGACCCTGACTTTCACTTTAGTATCCCACTATTACAAGCACGCAATCAGAATTCCTAATGGAGAAAAAGCGTCGGTGTATACATACTTGTTTGTTGTTTATCACCGCACTCAGCAATATTCCAGCTATGTGACGGCGTCTGTAAGTAATAGAGTCTTGACCAGACAATCCAGTGATTGACAATATGAGCATCAATCCACGCAGTTAAGATCGATGAAGCATCCGGACTCGCTACAAAGATCGATAATGAGAATTATCGTCGATGGAAAGAAATATTAACGATTATAAATAAGAGTGAGTGAGTGAGTATGGTTTTAAGCCGCTTTTAGCAATATTCCAGCAATATTACGGCGGGGAACACCAGAAATGGGCTTCACACATTGTACCCATGTCAGGAATCGGACCCGTGTCTACGGCGTGACGAGCGAACGCTTTAACCACTAGGATACCCGACCGCCCCTTATCAATAAGAAACTGTTGTCATCATAATAACTCACATAGTTCTTAGACGTTGTTGAGAAAATAAACTGTGAAGCAAACGTACAGATGGGAAGTTGCATATTTTGTTTTATTCAATATGAACATCAAAAAGTACAAATTAAATTATTAATAATCATATTAAAAAAATAATTCCTCAGTTCTTCAATTTAAACTCTTCATTCAATGCACTTTGTAGTACACCAACATTAACTCAGGTCATCACAGGAAGATACAAAACCAGAAATAGACACAAGTTGAAATTCACACCACAAAATCTGATTGTTCATGTAGTACACGACCCGTGAAGATCCGGGTTAGGATACGTCTTCAGCAACCCATGCTTGCCGTAAATGGCGACTTTGCTTGTCGTTAAAGGCGACTAACGGGATCGGGTTGTCAGGCTTGCTGACTCGGTTGATGCATGTCATCGATCCCAATTGCGTGGATCGATGTACTGGATTGTCTGGTCCAGACTATTTACAGACAGCCGTCACATAGCTGGAATATTGCTGAGTGCGGCGTAAAACAACAAACAAAACAAACCAATCATGTAGTACACAGAGATTATTTCATCAAGTTGTGAATCCTACTGTTAGTATACAGATTGGCTGAATGTTAAAATTTCTCAAGCGACAGAATTTTGAGACAAAATTAGTGGTAGTGGGTGAGTGAGTGAGTGGTGTTTATCGCCACTTTTAACAGTATTCCAGTTATATATCCAGACGTGTCAGCTTAATGTGGGAGGAAAGCCCAAAACGATGCAGGTCTCAGACGTTTACCACTTCGGTGAAACCCACGAGCACGGTATTGTGCTGACAAACCTAGAAACATAATTGGGATGAACCGGGATTCGAACCCACAATCATAGGTTTCTGGCGTGCCCAAGGGACGCAGCTCTGCACAGCGAATCGCGGCGCCTTAGACGACTGGGCCACCCGTGCCCCCAATAGTAGTAGGAAACGGACAGGAGTCATAGCAACATCACGAAACATGACGCCAAAATGATATCATCACTAATCATGACGCCAAAATAATGTCTGTATTTCGTCAACAACGGTAGTCGCATTACCCCATTAATGGTGTTTACTGCATGGAATCCCGATTTTCCATGCCTCTGGTGAAATTTTATGAATCCTTCTTTTTGGCTTCATCAATATAACATAAGTGCATTATGTTGCATCAACAACATATCATCGCCACGACATTTCAAGTTAATTTTTTAATGGACGTATTTCCCAGTGCCAAGACCTTGGGATGTTTGAGATGTTGGGTATCACCGTGACAACTGATTTGCACTCCACGACTAGCACTTGTTCATTCAATATGAACATCATAAAGTATACTGAACCGCCAAAGAAACATCACCATGGATTGATATATGAGAAACCTTATTTTTCCAAACACTGTAAACATACTTTGAAACATACTAAAAAGATGAAACTTAGCAAAACTGATCATCAAGGTTGAAATTAAAGTGTCAAATGTTCTTAAAGTGAAAAACAACTCTTGTCTCTGAGAAAATGGCATCACAAGTCAGTATCTCATACAGTGTCCGCCATGTGCATTGATGACTGCCGTGCAACCTCGATACCTGGAATGGATGAGGCGGTTGATGAAGGCCATAGGCACTTGAGCCAACACTCCGAGGAACGCCTGATGCAGTTCAGCTTCAGTTGTCGGCCTTGGTGAGAAGTCATTCAGCCATTTTTGAATCTCGTCCCACAGGTGGTCAGTGGTATATATTGGGGACTGAGGGCAGGCCACTGCCTGGTTCTGATGCCATTCTGCTGGAGGAAGACTCTTGTTGCTCTCGCAGTGTGGGCACGGGCGTTATCATGCTGAAACTTGTGGTTGTGGCGACGTGCCAAATGAGGTGTGGCGTGTGGTCTCAAGACTTGATCAATGTACCGAGCTGCTGTGACACCATTGCCTCTCCCTGAACCGATGTTCTGGAAGACCACAGGGACGACCAATTGTTGCAATTGTGCAAGACCAATTCCACCCCACACCATGATGCTTAGACCACCCCGCAAGTCTCTCTCAACAACACAAGCATCTGAATAACGTTTCCCATGGCATCGCCAGACTCCCTCTCTGCCATCTGCTGTTGAGATACAGTAACGGCTGAGAAGAGGACTCTTCTCCACTGCTGATGGCGCCAATGCTGGTGCTATGTTGCCCACTGAAGACGGTCCCAGCGATGACGTGGTGTCAGAATGGGTCCTCGGTGTGGCCTGTGACAGTGAGGGTGTCTGCTCGTCAATCGTCGACGCACGTTGTCCCCACTAATGTGTCACTGGTGTGTCCCAAGCAGTTTCCCCAGCAGTAACAAAGCAATCTTGAAGATGCTGTCACACAAACTGATGATCCTGACGTCGGGTGGTGACCCTTGGTCTTCCACTACGTGGTCGGTCATCTGTACTGTTGGTGGTCTGGTACCATTGATGAAGCCTGTATATGGTCCTTACGTGGACTTGAAATGCATTGGCTACTTGCCGGGCGGTTTGTCCAGCTTGCAATCGTCCAAGGGCTTGGTGTCGCGGATTTCTTGTCAATCTTGGCATGTGGCAGCAATTCAATAATGAATGAATGTTATCCGATCTGGGTGGATTTTTATAGGGCAAGTAATGGGGGAATGCATGTGCATTTCAATCTGCACGGAACTCACGTCCATTTGGTTACCATGGCCGTTGCCGTGATGCGTTTGGGCGATCGGTTTTATTGTCATCTGCATTGTTATTTTATCATCAAATTTCATTTTTCGGACAGGGTAATGTTAAATTTTAGAAACTTTGACAAAAATTACCAGGATATTTAAATGACAACTTTTCATGCAATGTTACTTGGGGTGACGTTTCTTTTGTGGTTTAGTATAGATCTTGTGTGTATCTGGTAAACAACATAGGGTTACCAACACTGGGCTAACAAAGGTCCCAGGACAGATCCTTGTGTTTGACATCTTCCCCAGGCAAGGGAATTCATTGACTGTAAACGTAAAGTTTTCAACCTTGCCGAACAAGACTGGAATTTCTTGGCTGGATCTTAGTAGCGCCACCAGAGGCTATTACGAGTTATGTCCCTTCCACATCCCTCCTATTGACCAATCAAATTCCACTTCTCATATCATTTGCATTAGCTTCAAATAGAATGTGATCGATAATCAAGATCTATATTGTAATAAAACTGGTCTTACTTCGCAAAGTTCATCAAATCATGTCAGCACCTTGACTAAAACAAGGAAAGATTTGGAAAATATCTGTTGATGCAAAGTCCTGCAATCAAATGAAATATGCACGGCAGTTTACGAACCGGATGTCGCTTTCGTGATTTTGATTGGACAATGCATAGATTCGTAAGTCCAGCCATAATATAACTCCATGATTCCAGTCTAGTTCACCAAGGTTGGAAACTGGACTTTTATAATCAGTTAACTCCCTTGGGTCGGGAAGATGTGTGTTTGAGATCAGACATCATTGATAAGGAATCTATTGCTCAGGTTTGATGTAAACCAGATTCTGTAGACAACACAAGTTGAAAATGTCATTGCTTTGTGTTAAATAAGTAACAAAAAATGCCCATTCTCTCCTTGACCACAAGTTATCTTGTTGACTTGACTGACTTATTGAGCAGGACTCCAAGGTCATCACAGTCAAATACATCCTGGCTTAGTTCTCGGATGATGTCCCTGTTTAGCCTAAAGGCCAGCTCCAGGTCTCGACTACAGCGCCTCAACGCTGTCTTGGGCAGTTCTGAAAGAGTTTATATTCTTCTTTGCAAAAAGAAAAATTACCTTTAAAGTTTTGAGAATTCATGTCATCTTTACTACATGGAAGTAGATGTTGAACTATCAAGCTTTTCATATCATAATCCATTTTTTAAACTCATATTTTAAAAACTTCACATTCAGTTCAAAATAAAGTTGAAATTCACTCTGGTGTTCTATCTATTAGGTCACGTCTTTCTATGTGAGGCTCAAACATTTATCATTCATCCCTCATACCAGTTCACCAAATCGGCAACATTAATTTTTCCCACGATTTCTTTTGTTTGTAATTTGAATTTGGCACATATTTGTCCTGTCAATATGTCTGACCTTGACAAATGTAAAACCTATCCGGAAGGCCATCATGAACGTGACACTTGATGTATTTAAACAATTACTAAATTTAATCAGTGCTTCTTAATCAGCAGTAATGAATTTTGGGTAAACTATAATATTATATTATAGAGAGCATGATTAGCACATTGAAGTCGTCAAAAGTGTCAGGCAGAGTAACATCCCTTGGTCTTACCAGAAAAATTACCTTTAAAGTTTTGAGAATTCATGTCATCTTTACTACATGGAAGTAGATGCTGAACTTTCAAGCTTTTCATGTCATGTTCCATTTTTTAAACTCATATTTTTAAAGACATAAAAACTTCAGTCAGTTCAAAATAAAGTTGAAATTCACTCTGGTGTTCCAGATGTGCAGCTCTGATATTGGATATAGAGAGAATCAAAAACTAACTATTTACTACAGCATTCAACCTGTGAAGATCCGGGGTAGTATACGTCTTCAGCAACCCATGCTTGCTGTAAAAGGCGACTAACGAGATCTGGTAGTCAGACGCGGTGACTTGGTTGATGCATGTCATCGTATCCCGATTGCGTAGGCCGTTCATGATGTCAATCACTGGATTGTCTGGTCCAGACTCGATAATTTAAAGACCGCCACATATAGCTGGAATATTGCTGAGTGCGGCGTAAAACAAAAAACAAACAAATACTACAGAATTCTGTCTTTCATGTCATAATGTTGAATTCAGTACAACAAGCTCCATGCTAATGATGGAATGGAGTATTGATATGTGTTGTCCAATTTGACACAACAGCCAATATTCCAACAAACGAGATTAATTAGAAAAGAGTACTGGGGTTACTTAGGGCATCGCGTCATATTAAAAGACTTTAAAAGATGGAACTTGTTGTTACCCTGTCTGGCGCTCGGCATTAAGGGGCTAAAACAAGGACTGGTCGACTCGGAGTGAGTATACTGTGAGTGAGTGAGTGAGGTTTTACGCCGCTTTTAGCAATATTCCAGCAATATCACGGCGAGGGACACCAGAAATGGGCTTCACACATTGTACCCATGTCGGGAATCGAACCCGGGTCTTCGGCGTGACGAGCGAACGCTTCAACCACTAGGCTACCCGACCGCCCCGAGTATACTGTGTCTGAGTGGGGTATTCATGTTAAACTGCGGCATGGTATCTCAGTGAGCTAGCACTATAAATCGGCATCAGTCCGGACTAGTGTACACACACACACACACACACGCACACGCACACTCACACGCGCACGTACATGCAAACTCACACGCACACACATGCATGCACATCGCTATATAAGTGCAATAATCTTGGACGCGACGTTAAACCCCATTTCACCTCACCTACTTAGGGCATCAGTACAAACTGACCACAAAGTGAGCAGTGCGGAAGCCTGGTGGTAAAATCATCGGTTTATCATGACAAAGATCCAGGATCGATGTGTGAAGCCCATTTCTGGCATGGTGTCCCCCGCTGTATGTGAGTGAGTGAGTGAGTAAGGTTTTACGCCGCTTTTAGCAATATTCCAGCAATATCACGGCGGGGGACACCAGAAATGGGCTTCACACATTGTACCCATGTCGGGAATCGAACCCGGGTCTTCGGCGTGACGAGCGAACGCTTTAACCACTAGGCTACCCGACCGCCCCCCCGCTGTATGTCTTGTATGCGAAGTGTGTGAGTTGTGGGTGCTACCGGATAGTCAGGAGATGCTTCCACTTGTTGCAAGCACCTGGTGTGATCACTGATTTTCGGTGATCCATTCATATAATTTTCACCACTTTTTAGCCTTTACTATACAATGGAATCTATTTCGGTGGATGTTAAGTTGTTCTCTGGCATTGACATTTTATATTTACCTTTGTCTGTTGAGCACTTATAGTATGCAGTCCACACGGCTCCAGAGAACACATCAGCTGGTGTTGGGAACTCCTTGGTTAGGTATAACGCCCCTCCAAGAAGTATATAAGCATGCATGTATAAACTCTGGAATAAAAGAAATATTAAGCATGTTTCAACATTACTGAAGCAATACCATCTTACAACACAAATCAGAACAGGAAAACAGCAGCATCACCATCCCTCATTACAATACTGTAGTGTAATAAGTATATAAGCATGCATGTATAAACTCTGGAATAAAAGAAATATTAAGCATGTTTCAACATTACTGAAGCAATACCATCTTACAACACAAAACAGAACAGGAAAACAGCAGCACCACCATCCCTCATTACAATACTGTAGTGTAATAAGTATATAAGCATGCATGTATAAACTCTGGAATAAAAGAAATATTAAGCATGTTTCAACATTACTGAAGCAATACCATCAACACAAATCAGAACAGGAAAATAGCAGCATCACCATCCCTCATTACAATACTGTTTGTTTATGGAGTGTAAAGGTTCTACTACACCAAATCAGAACTAGTTTGGACAGTGCGGTTTTCGTAGGGAGCCTTCAGTGCAGATCGAGAGATATCTGCAGGCTGTGATTGGAGGATATTCTGTAAGATTTTTATGTCTTTCAAATGTACATCCATCCAGTTATTAAAACTGACCATGTTTTTCTATATTTAGTACTGTCTTTTTCAACATGATGACTTATGCTGAATGTGACCACAGCTATTTTCAAGTAGGTGACATTTGGTGCGAAACTGGGGGTTAGCTTCTGGTACTCGAAAAAGGAGCTGGCTAAGCTAGTCATTTTTTATTTTTTATTGCTGCTCTAAGGCCAAACTGTGCACACACGTACAGGTAATAGCTGTTGAATGCTTAGTTTGGTTTTTTTGACAGCACAGACACCTACAAAAAGTACACATCAAAAGACAACATTTACCAGTTATTTTGAAGACACTGCACCAATATAAATTGCTCGAGCATATGGTGCCATGATAGTACTGGAAAGGAAGTGACCTGCAAAGACCTTAGCCTTCTGGCTTACCAAAGGAGCAATTATTATTTGTATTTGTACTATCTGGTGACAGGAAAGACACTATTACTCTGGACAAGATTACTATTGCCAAAAATAATGAATCCAAGTGGAAAACCAACAGCTTTTCTGCTGTTATCAGCCTTTCATGATGTCATGCTACATAAATCACCAGGGCTTTGGGAAGTATTTGTTCCCAGAGACTTAAGATAATTTGAGAAAGTTTGATTTTTTATTTATGGGCAACAAATTTCTGCACATTTCTGCACATTTAAGGTATTTTTCTGGCTAACATAAGGTTATAGCAGTAATTTGATCAGAATATTGGATACATCTAATAAATATCTTCATTGTCAAGTAATCTGAAAACAGAATTATGAGTTGTTTTCAAGAAAATTCATTTGGACAGGAAATGTTACTTTTTTAGAGAATGACCCATATATAAAAAGTATCAAAATAAAATATTAAACAGTTTCCGATGCTAGGTGTATCTGAGTCTAGGTCCAGTTTGTTGCCAAGGAAACACAAACATCGCCCCTTTGTAGACATTGTGCGCTTTGTAAAATAACATGGATTAAGGACAGTTACTATGTGTGCACAAAATCTAAAAACTTGTAGCAAGGGAAGTAATTCTGGAAAACAATAATTTATGGCACCAAATTTTGAACTCGGTCTTGATCAGTATCTCTTAGATAAGTTTGCAAAGTTTCATTTATGTAAATTAAATAGTTTGGGAGAAAATTTGTCCCCATTTCATGCAGTATGCACAAAGTTGAAAAGCACAGAGCAAGGGCCATAACTCTGTACAAAATGAATTTTAGACACCAATTTTTGAACTCATTTAAGATTGTGACCAGTTACATCAGTGTGTAAAATTTCATTTTTCAAACTTAAATAATTTTGGAGAAAATTTGTCACCATTGAGAAGCGGGCCAGACAGACCGATGGAAGAACTACGTGCTGTATCCACCACCGCCCCCTTTTGTGGCAGGGGATAATAGTGAGTGAGTGAGTTGAGTTTAACGCCGTTTTAAACAGTATTCCAGTTATATCACGGCGTGTCACCTTAATGTGGGAGGAAAGCCCGAAGTGATGCAGGTCTCAGACGTTTACCACTTCGGTGAAACCCACAAGCACGGGTATGGTGCTGACAAACCTAGAAACATAATCGGGGTGAACCCGGATTCGAACCCACAATCATAGGTTTCTGGCGTGTCCAAGGGACACAACTCTGCACAGCGAATAGCGGCGCCTCAGACGACTTGGCCACCTGTGCCCCCGCAGGGTTTAATAACAGGCTATGACATTTAAAAACACTCTGAGAAATTATGTATGGATGCAAGGGTTGGTTGATAACTTCTGAGCCTCACATAGACAATGATAGAAGGAGCTGTGGACATTACTGAGTGGAATATTGAAACTATAGTGGGCACTTCCCGGGAGGGAGTACATTCAGTCATCACAGAAACTTTGGCAATGAAGAATGTATCAGCTCATTGGGTTCCAAAGCTTCGGACATCTGTTTGAAGCTTATCCAGAAAGGTTCTTGCAATAATTTATGACAATGAATCTGCATTCAAAGAACAACCAAAACAGTGGAAGCATTTGACAGCATCACCACCAAAGAAGGCAATGTCTGTCCCATCAACAAGAAAGGTGATAGTCACCATGTTCTGGGATGCCAAGGTTGTCATCATGGTGGACTGTCTTCCCAAAGACCAGACAATAATCAGAGACTTTTGAGAAAATTACGGAATGATATTAAGACTATGAGACACGGGAAGATGAGTAAAAATGTGCTCTTCCATCAGAACCATACTCCAGTCCCCCCTAATTTTTGCCAGTCCCAACTTTCAACCAATAAAAAAACATATGAAAATTGTTTGGTTTTAATTCTTTCAACTTCATGTTCATTGCAAAGATGTCTTCTCTGAAGTAACTTGGTTAGATCTATACGTCATTCACACAAATTTCAGTCACAATTTTCTCTTTATTTTTTAATATTTCAAGACAAGAACGCTACAACTGGATATTTAACCCAGAAATAGACAAGACTAAACCCTGATGGTAACAGACAAGCTGACTTTGCTCGACAAATGTACTTCTATGAATATCACCAATGTTTTGTTTTGAGTTCTAGCCTGAACCCATTTTTACTCGAAAAATGATGTCACAGCAGCTGTTGAGAACCTTTTGGACTGACAAGAGAGGGACTTCTACGAGACAAGGATGAAATTCCTCCACACTGTTAGTGGCAAAAGTGTATTATGCGGAAAGGGATTGTGCTGGAAAAAATATAATGTTAATATTTTTAGGTCACATCTTTCTATGTGAGGCTCAACCATTTATCAATCACCCCTCATACCAGTTCACCAAATCGGCAACATTAATTTTACCAATGATTTCTTTTGTTTGTAATTTGAATTTAGCACATATTTGTCCTGTCAATATGTCTGACCTTGACAAATGTAAAACCTATCCGGAAGGCCATCATGAACGTGACACTTGATGTATTTAAACAATTACTAAATTTAATCAGTGCTTCTTAATCTGCAGTATTGAAGTTTGGGTATACTGTAATATTATATTATAGAGAGCATGATTAGCCCATTGAAGTTGTCAAAAGTGCCAGGCAGAGTTACATCCCTTGGTCTTACCAGGATCCGCTGGACACGGATCCTGAGTGTGCACCATAACCATTAGTTTCCTCCCACATAAGCCGGGATGCTATAACAGTTCTGAAATTCTGTTCACAGCAGCTTAAAACCACCCCACAAACTATTTTAAATTGTTTAAACATTATTTTATCTAAGTTTAAAAAATATACATTATTTTTCCACACAAAATTTTAAATATAGTTTTAAAAATTACAACGCACTCAGCAGGGACAGTGGAAAGCCAAATTTGTGCAATGATTACACATTTAACAGCTTTGAAAGCCCTATGAGTTGTGAAAGAAGATTTATAAGGTTTGCTGTATTTGTTTCGAATATTTCCAACAAAAAACTCGATAAGATCCCAACGATTTCAACAACTATGATGTCACAATAGGAAGGTACTGTACATGCAAATGTCTCAAATGTCAGCGTAATCAATCAGTCCAGCAGTTTCCGAGACTGGCAGCCATATTGAAAATTGTATCATTTTAGATTCTATAATGGTGGTTGTGAGGTGAGGGGAAATTGGGTTTAACGTCGCGTCCAAGATTATTGCACTTATATAGCAACGTGCATGCACGTGTGTGTGTGTGTGTGTGTGTGTGACTGATGCCGATTTATAGTGCCAGCCCACTGAGATACCATGCCGCAGTTTAACATGAATACCCCACTCAGACACAGTATACTGACTCCGAGCCAACCGGTCCTTGTTTTAGCCCCTTATTGCCGAGCGCCCGGACAGGGTAACAACAAGTACCATCTTTTAACGTCTTTTGGTATGACGAGGTCGGGGATCGAACCCCGGACCTTCCGCTCTCCGGGCGGACGCTCAACCACTAGACCACGGAGGCGGTCCTATAATAGTGGGATGAAGAATGGCAAGCTTCAGCTTCAGTGATCCAGTGAAATATGTTCATGCCAGCGGATAACATACATCAGAACAAACCGTCAAAGCATCTTTTCCTCCGAATATCTGTTACAGAGTCCCCTCATTCTCCATGCAAACACGACAGTTCTAAAGGTCACAAGAACCCACCTTAGACCATGAACATCTTGTAACATGGCAGTGAATTTTATTGTTGAACAATGATTGTAACTGTGTTACATTGTTTCTGTTGAGATTTGGTAGACGCTCATTGCATTGTTTGAACAGTGATTAGTTGTCAGGAATGTAGTACTATTTAATGTAAGCAGTCGTCAGGAAGTTTCTATATCTAGATGCTGGTGTGGTATGTAAACGACTGTATAACATTGACTGTGAATGTGTGTTATAGAAACATGGAGAATGTTCTATGTTGTGAGGGCACCATGAGGAACTTCCCCGTAGCTAGTTTGGTGAGGTGAAGTGAAATGGGGTTTAACGTCGCGTCCAAGATTATTGCACTTATATAGCGACGTGCATGCACGTGTATGTGTGTGTGTGTGTGTGTGGCTGCTTGTACTAGTCCGGACTGATGCCGATTTAAAGTGCTAGCTCACTGAGATACCATGCCGCAGTTTAACATGAATACCCCACTCAGACACAGTATACTGACTCCGAGCCAACCAGTCCTTGTTTTAGCCCCTTATTGCCGAGCGCCGGACAGGGTAACAACAAGTACCATCTTTTAACGTCTTTTGGTATGACGCGGTCGGGGATCGAACCCCGGACCTTCCGCTCTCCGGGCAGACGCTCTACCACTAGACCAAGGAAGTGGTCCGCAGCTAGTTTGACCGTATATAAGGGGTCAAGAGCATGCCTCTCGCATCTCTCACGCATTTCACAATATCAAGACCAGCTTTCCTGTGAGTTTCACTCAACACCCTGATTCCCTGCCAAAGCCCATCTCGGAAGCTTGACCACCATTATAATATACTATTATCACTGACTTTTGCTATGACTACTGTTTTTTATGTATTTGATACTGACCACTGCCAACATATCACATACTGCCATTGAATATTGTACTACCACTCAAATGTGTACTGCCATTGTAATTGCTATGCAGTAATTTGTGTTGATTTGTAAACTAAGTTGAGTTTGTAATACAATTGTATACCATTTGTTGGTTGTTTGTTGGTTTCACACTAAGTTCTTTTACGTACAGATTTCTGGGTGAACATGTTTCAATTTGGGAATCGACATGTAACAATGTCATCATACTGGAGAGTAAGGAGGCTTTAACACTAGCACTTGGGTTCATCTTTGATCAAGCCAGGTTACCAGAAACACGCACTGAAGTTGTTATCTTAACAGCATTGGAAGATTCATTTCTGTTACCAAACATCAAAGTTGCTACGGCAACCAGAACTCACCTGGAACCAGGCACTCATGGTCACACAGCGTGGAGAAGGCTTCAAGCTGAGTCCTTGGTACCATCGTTCGTCTCTGTGACCAAACACGAGGGCGACGAGCGCACAGAACTCCATCTCTGTGATGCAGAGGTTGTGTTTCCAGTTGAGGAGTAGGAAGTAGCGGAGGATGTAGCACAGGAAGCCCTCTGTCCTTTCAAACATTTCAAACCAGGATTTCACAGCTGTAAAACAGGACAAAGCAATGTTCCTCAGTAAAAATTCACACAATCTATACACAGAGACAGAAAATATTGCGCCATGTTGATGGTGGGCATGATGGTGATGGTGATGGTGATGAGGGTGTTCATTTGTATTGGTGGTGTAGGTTTGTTTGTTTTTTTGTTTGTTTGTTGTTTAACACCACACTCAGCAATATTCCAGGTATATGACATCGGTCTGTAGAATAATCGTATTTGGACCAGACAATTCCGTGATTGACATCATAAGCCACGATCCACGCAATTGGGATCGATGACATGCATCATGTAGGCGCTGGTATCAGTATTGGGGGGTGGTGATGGTCATGTCTGTGGTTGTGTGGGTGCTGGTATAAGTGAAGGGGGGTGGTGATGGTCATGTCTGTGGTTGTGTAGGCGCTGGTACCAGTGTTGGGGGGTGGTGATGTCTGTTGTTGTGTGGGCGCTGGTATCAGTGTTTGGGGGTGGTGATGGTCATGTCTGTGGTTGTGTGGGCGCTGGTATCAGTGTCTGTGTGTGTGTGGGGGGGGGCCGTGATGGTCATGTCTGTGGTTGTGTGGGTGCTGGTATCAGTGTAGGGGGGAGGTGATGGTCATGTCTGTTGTTGTGTGGGCGCTGGTATCAGTGATGGTCATGTCTGTGGTTGTGTGGGCGCTGGTATCAGTGTCTGTGTGTGTGTGTTGGAGGGGCCGTGATGGTCATGTCTGTGGTTGTGTGGGCGCTGGTATCAGTGTAGGGGGGAGGTGATGGTCATGTCTGTGGTTGTGTGGGCGCTGGTATCAGTGTTTGGGGGTGGTGATGGTCATGTCTGTGGTTGTGTGGGCGCTGGTATCAGTGTTGGGGGGTGGTGATGGTCATGTCTGTGGTTGTGTGGGTGCTGGTATCAGTGTTTGGGGGTGGTGATGGTCATGTCTGTGGTTGTGTGGGTGCTGGTATCAGTGTTGGGGGGTGGTGATGTCTGTGGTTGTGTGGGTGCTGGTATCAGTGTTTGGGGGTGGTGATGGTCATGTCTGTGGTTGTGTGGGTGCTGGTATCAGTGTAGGGGGGTGGTGATGGTCATGTCTGTGGTTGTACGGGTGCTGGTATCAGTGTAGGGTAGTGTTATGGGTATGAGGAGTGAGTTGGTGGTATAACTGGATAGAAGTTTTCATACAATGAAATCTAATTATGAGTGTAAAACCTACCGCCACCCTCCAAGTGAGTAATCATCCATTCAAAATGAAGGAGGTTTTCATGTATTGCATCTTGTTGTATACTACAGATGTGTGGAACTCTCTCATCATTAATAGCTTTGACCTGTAAAATAAAGGTTTCATTCATAAATTAAAATATAGATGAACACAAACATTCTGTGTGCTGGGCCCTTCTGGGAGTCTGTTTAATCCTAAACCAGACACAAACCTTTCAAACAAGTATTCGATATCCTAACTTAAACATTGATCTTAGTAGGTGGGTTGGTTTGTTGTTTAACGGGGAAAACATTTCTTGGGTCAATCATATCCTCCTATTTATAGTTCGAATCCCTGATTACAATTTGTTCACCAAAGTGGTAAATGTGTTTTACTGCAGTAATACCCTGACATGTCATGATACATCTGAGTGAGTGAGTGAGTGAGTTGGGTTTAACGCCGCTTTTAACAGTATTCCAGTTATATCGCAGCGCGTCAGCTTAATGTGGGAGGAAAGCCCGAAGTGATGCAGGTCTCAGACGTTTACCACTTCGGTGAAACCAACGACCACGGGTATGGTGCTGACAAACCTAGAAACATAATTGGGGCGAACCGGGATTCGAACCCACAATCATAAGTTTCTGTCGTGCCCAAGGGACGCAACTCTGCACAGCGAATCGCGGCGCCTTAGACGACTGGGCCACCCGTGCCCCCCGTGATACATCTGAACTGCTGTTTGAAGCAGTGTTAAGCCTACCTCACTCACTCTACTTTTGGCCAACTCCCAACTCGATATCTGCTATTTTGTTGCAGGTATCTTTTAAAGCATTTATCGTATCAATAAACCATCTGCTTAGTCATAATCATATTGTTGACCAAAATATTTCTGGTTGTTTTCACGTTCATCAGTTAAATCGTAATCATAATTGTTGCCCAAAATATTTTTGGTTGTTTCAAGTTGAACCTTGGTTCAGTTGTAGCCTGAACTCTTGTAGCATTAGCATTGTATTTTTAATCATCAGTGGAGTCATAATCATACTGAATGATTTGGGTTTTGCAAATGAACTGAACTGATCATTTGACATTTTTTTAACAAAAAGATAAAAAAAGCTGCCTGTTTTGTGAGATTTTGTATCATTTTGATAAACATATTTTGAATTCTACTAACACTGATACATTCACATTTGTGTCCCTGCGAATTAAGTCCAAATTCGTCAACTGTGTCAACGTTTTGGGGAAGCACCATCCTGTAGATCCTCCGCCTCAGCTCCGTGAGAGCAGTGTCAGACGTGTGGTCACACAACGACGGCTGCTCTATGGAAACACCATGCCAGAACACACGGTTGTGGATTGCTAGCAGTTCACTTGGTAAGCTTCCCCTTAGAATACCATCATTCAGCAAGGAATGAACTTCACCCTTGTCTCCGTCAGGCTCGCAACATTGCAATAAGTAGAACAGTCTGGAGTCTTTTACAGCTTGGCGGAAGGCTGGATATTGATCCTGCATAATAAAAGTTAGGCTAAAAAATAAAGTCTTGGTTCTCTTGGTTTATCATCATAAAGTTCACCGCACGTTTAATATATATTTCCATTTTTTATTTTAAATTAAAAAATCCTTAAATATTCCAAGTCCAACGGTAGTCAAAATCTGTATTCCAGTATTTTACTCATCAAGGAATACATTTATGTAGGGAGGTCCTTTCCCACTTTGATTGTACGCAACTGTTATTTTGTTACATACTAGTTTGAACAACCAAACAACAAAAACAAAAACAAAAAAAACACCGCCCATCCACACTATCTTTTCAAAAGCTATTTCGTGAAGAACAATTATAAAAAAAATTAAGCCTCATGTATACAACTAACAGTTTACAGAGCTCAATTTAGAAACTAAACTTGATCATTTGTCAATTTCAAAGCATCAGTAGTTTGATCAATTGTTAAAACCCCTAATACTATTAATACAAACCAATTTTTTGGCAAACGCAGGATGGTTTTCGACTCGTCCATATTCCTTCACCCAATTGGCTGCCTTCTGCATTGAAAATCTACCCCTCAAGGAAAGCAGGTAGCGAAACTCCCTCATAAATCGCCCAGTGTTGTCATTACCGGCGATGATGCTGAGTTCTATAAGCTGCGAATGATGCTGAAACTGATCGAGGTGGGAAAAGGTGACATCACATTCAAGATGATGAACTTACATAGCTACCTGCATGCACATGTTTCTGTGTGTGGCTGCATGTACTTGTCCGGACATATGCTGGTTTGGTAGTGTTAGCCCACTGAGATACCGTGCATGCTGGTTTGGTAGTGTTAGCCCACTGAGATACCGTGCATGCTGGTTTGGTAGTGTTAGCTGACCGAGATACCGTGCATGCTGGTTTGGTAGTGTTAGCCCACTGAAAAACCGAGCATGCTGGTTTGGTAGTGTTAGCTGACCGAGATACCGTGCATGCTGGTTTGGTAGTGTTAGCCCACTGAGATACCGAGCATGCTGGTTTGGTAGTGTTAGCTGACCGAGATACCGTGCATGCTGGTTTGGTAGTGTTAGCCCACTGAGATACCGTGCATGCTGGTTTGGTAGTGTAAGCTGACCGAGATACCGTGCATGCTGGTTTGGTAGTGTTAGCTGACCAAGATACCGTGCATGCTGGTTTGGTAGTGTTAGCTGACCGAGATACCGTGCATGCTGGTTTGGTAGTGTTAGCTGACCGAGATACCGTGCATGCTGGTTTGGTAGTGTTAGCTGACCGAGATACCGTGCATGCTGGTTTGGTAGTGTTAGCCCACTGAGATACCGAGCATGCTGGTTTGGTAGTGTTAGCCCACTGAGATACAGAGCATGCTGGTTTGGTAGTGTTAGCTGACCGAGATACCGTGCATGCTGGTTTGGTAGTGTTAGCTGACCGAGATACCGTGCATGCTGGTTTGGTAGTGTTAGCTGACCGAGATACCGTGCATGCTGGTTTGGTAGTGTTAGCTGACCAAGATACCGTGCATGCTGGTTTGGTAGTGTTAGCCCACTGAGATACCGTGCATGCTGGTTTGGTAGTGTTAGCCCACTGAGATACAGAGCATGCTGGTTTGGTAGTGTTAGCTGACCGAGATACCGTGCATGCTGGTTTGGTAGTGTTAGCTGACCGAGATACCGTGCATGCTGGATTGGTAGTGTTAGCTGACCGAGATACCGTGCATGCTGGTTTGGTAGTGTTAGCTGACCGAGATACCGTGCATGCTGGTTTGGTAGTGTTAGCTGACCGAGATACCGTGCATGCTGGTTTGGTAGTGTTAGCTGACCAAGATACCGTGCATGCTGGTTTGGTAGTGTTAGCCCACTGAGATACCGAGCATGCTGGTTTGGTAGTGTTAGCCCACTGAGATACCGAGCATGCTGGTTTGGTAGTGTTAGCTGACCGAGATACCGTGCATGCTGGTTTGGTAGTGTTAGCTGACCGAGATACCGTGCATGCTGGTTTGGTAGTGTTAGCTGACCGAGATACCGTGCATGCTGGTTTGGTAGTGTTAGCTGACCAAGATACCGTGCATGCTGGTTTGGTAGTGTTAGCCCACTGAGATACCGAGCATGCTGGTTTGGTAGTGTTAGCCCACTGAGATACAGAGCATGCTGGTTTGGTAGTGTTAGCTGACCGAGATACCGTGCATGCTGGTTTGGTAGTGTTAGCCCACTGAGATACCGTGCATGCTGGTTTGGTAGTGTTAGCTGACCGAGATACCGTGCATGCTGGTTTGGTAGTGTTAGCCCACTGAGATACAGAGCATGCTGGTTTGGTAGTGTTAGCTGACCGAGATACCGTGCATGCTGGTTTGGTAGTGTTAGCTGACCGAGATACCGTGCATGCTGGTTTGGTAGTGTTAGCTGACCGAGATACCGTGCATGCTGGTTTGGTAGTGTTAGCCCACTGAGATACCGTGCATGCTGGTTTGGTAGTGTTAGCCCACTGAGATACAGAGCATGCTGGTTTGGTAGTGTTAGCTGACCGAGATACCGTGCATGCTGGTTTGGTAGTGTTAGCTGACCGAGATACCGTGCATGCTGGTTTGGTAGTGTTAGCTGACCGAGATACCGTGCATGCTGGTTTGGTAGTGTTAGCTGACCGAGATACCGTGCATGCTGGTTTGGTAGTGTTAGCTGACCGAGATACCGTGCATGCTGGTTTGGTAGTGTTAGCTGACCAAGATACCGTGCATGCTGGTTTGGTAGTGTTAGCCCACTGAGATACCGAGCATGCTGGTTTGGTAGTGTTAGCCCACTGAGATACAGAGCATGCTGGTTTGGTAGTGTTAGCTGACCGAGATACCGTGCATGCTGGTTTGGTAGTGTTAGCTGACCGAGATACCGTGCATGCTAGTTTGGTAGTGTTAGCTGACCGAGATACCGTGCATGCTGGTTTGGTAGTGTTAGCTGACCAAGATACCGTGCATGCTGGTTTGGTAGTGTTAGCCCACTGAGATACCGAGCATGCTGGTTTGGTAGTGTTAGCCCACTGAGATACAGAGCATGCTGGTTTGGTAGTGTTAGCTGACCGAGATACCGTGCATGCTGGTTTGGTAGTGTTAGCCCACTGAGATACCGTGCATGCTGGTTTGGTAGTGTTAGCTGACCGAGATACCGTGCATGCTGGTTTGGTAGTGTTAGCCCACTGAGATACAGAGCATGCTGGTTTGGTAGTGTTAGCTGACCGAGATACCGTGCATGCTGGTTTGGTAGTGTTAGCTGACCGAGATACCGTGCATGCTGGTTTGGTAGTGTTAGCTGACCGAGATACCGTGCATGCTGGTTTGGTAGTGTTAGCTGACCAAGATACCGTGCAAGCTGGTTTGGTAGTGTTAGCCCACTGAGATACCGAGCATGCTGGTTTGGTAGTGTTAGCCCACTGAGATACAGAGCATGCTGGTTTGGTAGTGTTAGCTGACCGAGATACGGTGCATGCTGGTTTGGTAGTGTTAGCCCACTGAGATACCGTGCATGCTGGTTTGGTAGTGTTAGCTGACCGAGATACCGTGCATGCTGGTTTGGTAGTGTTAGCTGACCAAGATACCGTGCATGCTGGTTTGGTAGTGTTAGCCCACTGAGATACCGTGCATGCTGGTTTGGTAGTGTTAGCCCACTGAGATACAGAGCATGCTGGTTTGGTAGTGTTTGCTGACCGAGATACCGTGCATGCTGGTTTGGTAGTGTTAGCTGACCGAGATACCGTGCATGCTGGTTTGGTAGTGTTAGCTGACCAAGATACCGTGCATGCTGGTTTGGTAGTGTTAGCCCACTGAGATACCGTGCATGCTGGTTTGGTAGTGTTAGCCCACTGAGATACAGAGCATGCTGGTTTGGTAGTGTTAGCTGACCGAGATACCGTGCATGCTGGTTTGGTAGTGTTAGCTGACCGAGATACCGTGCATGCTGGTTTGGTAGTGTTAGCTGACCGAGATACCGTGCATGCTGGTTTGGTAGTGTTAGCTGACCAAGATACCGTGCATGCTGGTTTGGTAGTGTTAGCCCACTGAGATACCGTGCATGCTGGTTTGGTAGTGTTAGCCCACTGAGATACAGAGCATGCTGGTTTGGTAGTGTTAGCTGACCGAGATACCGTGCATGCTGGTTTGGTAGTGTTAGCTGACCGAGATACCGTGCATGCTGGTTTGGTAGTGTTAGCTGACCGAGATACCGTGCATGCTGGTTTGGTAGTGTTAGCTGACCGAGATACCGTGCATGCTGGTTTGGTAGTGTTAGCCCACTGAGATACCGAGCATGCTGGTTTGGTAGTGTTAGCCCACTGAGATACAGAGCATGCTGGTTTGGTAGTGTTAGCTGACCGAGATACCGTGCATGCTGGTTTGGTAGTGTTAGCTGACCGAGGTTCCGTGCATGCTGGTTTGGTAGTGTTAGCTGACCGAGATACCGTGCATGCTGGTTTGGTAGTGTTAGCTGACCAAGATACCGTGCATGCTGGTTTGGTAGTGTTAGCCCACTGAGATACCGTGCATGCTGGTTTGGTAGTGTTAGCCCACTGAGATACAGAGCATGCTGGTTTGGTAGTGTTAGCTGACCGAGATACCGTGCATGCTGGTTTGGTAGTGTTAGCTGACCGAGATACCATGCATGCTGGTTTGGTAGTGTTAGCTGACCGAGATACCGTGCATGCTGGTTTGGTAGTGTTAGCTGACCGAGATACCGTGCATGCTGGTTTGGTAGTGTTAGCCCACTGAGATACCGAGCATGCTGGTTTGGTAGTGTTAGCCCACAATCATAGGTTTCTGGCAGATATATTTTTCCAGAATTCATTTGCCCATAATTGCCCACGAGTGCGTATAATACGCAAATAAATAAGTCTTGTGTACATTGATCAATCAGAAGGGTTCTAATTGGGTTTGTTCACTAGCCAAAATATTAGCAAATATCGCTGTGGGCGCTTATTAGAGCGGGGCGCTTATTACGTCGAATACGGTATGTAAAATTAGTAGTGGAACTCAACATGTTCCATTCCTAGCAATATTTTATATTTTGATCTTGATTTGACCTTTTGGACCATGCCAATGATTAATTTTAAAATTCATTTCTGTGCACTATACACATCTCCTCAGAAACAACCGATGCAGTGACCCTCAAATGTAACAGGCATGTTCCAACTCGACTGAAGGGGACCCAATTTGTTCCAAGAGGTTTGAATCAGATTTCTATTACAGCTGCAATAGCTGCCTCACTGAAAACCCAGTACTCAGTCAGTTTTGTTTGAAATGTAAATGTAATTAAATTTTGCGTATGTAGAATCTAGTCAGACTATACATTATTACAGGATTCATTTTTCCCCATTACAGTCAAGTTTCGCTAAACCAACACTCGTTAATCTGACAATTGGCTTTATCTGACACTAATAATGGAAACCAATTAAATCAGTACTATTTAGACCTGTTAATCCGACAGTCTCGCACTCCGACTCCAACACACCTAATTTGCAACGAATTACTGAAATCACTCATTAATCAGTCTCGTTAATCCGACACAGTGATCAGCGAACTCCGTGGTCATGAGACTGCCCACGCGTACCCAGCCCGTGTTTTGAGATGAGTCGGCTGGTAGCTACATATCACAAAGCTGCAGAGATAAACTTTGCTCAACAATAAACCGAGGACATCCCATTACAGGTCACTTTGAAGAAGAAACTGACACTTACAGTATATTGTAAATAGTCAGTGAGTGAGTATGTTTAACGCCGCTTTTAACAGTATTCCAGTTATAGCGTGGTGTGTCAGCTTAATGTGGGAGGAAAGACCGAAGTGATGCAGGTCTCAGACGTTTACCACTTCGGTGAAACCAACAAGCACGGGTATGGTGCTGACAAACCTAGAAACATAATCGGAGCGAACCGGGGATTCGAACCCACAATCATAGGTTTCTGGCGTGCCCAAAGGACGCAACTCTGCACAGCTAATCGCGGCGCCTTAGACGACTGGGCCACCCGTGCCCCCTTACCAGATAAGGAATGTTAATGTGTTTAGCTTAATTGAATGGCACAAGGTCTTTGAACCAATTATTAGTAATTCAGAGACACCCATAAATGAAAAAGATATGTCAGACAAGTGTACTGTTAATCTGGTACAATTACTATAAAGCAGGACTCATTATTTTCATGGACCAAGGAGTGAAATATTGAAATTCTATTTTAATATTTAGATTGTACACATGTACGTACTCAAAGGCTTGTAGAGAGCAAAGAGATACAGATACAGTAAACACATAAAGGCATGCCCCTAGCTTTAATGTTTTTTTGTTTGTTTGTTTGATGTTTGATGACGCACTTGGCAATATGGGGGTGGTCTAGCTTGTAATGAGAATACAAAATAAAAGCAACAAAAAACATTTCAATAATCATAAAAAATCTTTTCAAAAAGCAGTGTCCATTGTATGATTCTTAAGACATCATAAGCATGATTTATGAATCACTACCAAATAGTGCTGATACCAGGTGTTGGCATAATTATCAACCCAACATGCACTCAAAGGCTGGTTATGCGAAAAATAAACAGCATCCACTGAAGGCATGTTCCTGAGCTGGTAATGAGAAAACACACACAGCATCCACTCAAGGCATGCCCCTGAGCTGGTAATGAGAAAACACACACAGCATCCACTCAAGGCAAGCCCCCGAGCTGGTAATGAGAAAACACACACAGCATCCACTCAAGGCATGCCCCCGAGCTGGTAAAAGCCCCCGAGCTGGTAATGAGAAAGCACACACAGCATCCACTCAAGGCATGCCCCTGAGCTGGTAATGAGAAAACACACACAGCATCCACTCAAGGCATGCCCCTGAGCTGGTAATGAGAAAACACACACAGCATCCACTCAAGGCAAGCCCCCGAGCTGGTAATGAGAAAACACACACAGCATCCACTCAAGGCATGCCCCCGAGCTGGTAAAAGCCCCCGAGCTGGTAATGAGAAAGCACACACAGCATCCACTCAAGGCATGCCCCTGAGCTGGTAATGAGAAAACACACACAGCATCCACTCAAGGCATGCCCCTGAGCTGGTAAAGAGAAAACACACACAGCATCCACTCAAGGCATGCCCCTGAGCTGGTTATGAGAAAACACACACAGCATCCACTCAAGGCATGCCCCTGAGCTGGTAATGAGAAAACACACACAGCATCCACTCAAGGCATGCCCCTGAGCTGGTAATGAGAAAACACACACAGCATCCACTCAAGGCATGCCCCCGAGCTGGTAATGAGAAAACACACACAGCATCCACTCAAGGCATGCCCCTGAGCTGGTAATGAGAAAACACACACAGCATCCACTCAAGGCAAGCCCCCGAGCTGGTAATGAGAAAACACACACAGCATCCACTCAAGGCATGCCCCTGAGCTGGTAATGAGAAAACACACACAGCATCCACTCAAGGCATGCCCCCGAGCTGGTAAAAGCCCCCGAGCTGGTAATGAGAAAGCACACACAGCATCCACTCAAGGCATGCCCCTGAGCTGGTAATGAGAAAACACACACAGCATCCACTCAAGGCATGCCCCTGAACTGGTAATGAAAAAGCACACACAGCATCCACTCAAGGCATGCCCCCGAGCTGGTAATGAGAAAACACACACAGCATCCACTCAAGGCATGCCCCTGAGCTGATAATGAGAAATCACACACAGCATCCACTCAAGGCATGCCCCCAAGCTGGTAATGAGAAAGCACACACAGCATCCACTCAAGGCATGCCCCTGAGCTGGTAATGAGAAAACACACACAGCATCCACTCAAGGCAAGCCCCCGAGCTGGTAATGAGAAAACACACACAGCATCCACTCAAGGCATGCCCCCGAGCTGGTAATGAGAAAACACACACAGCATCCACTCAAGGCATGCCCCCGAGCTGGTAAAAGCCCCCGAGCTGGTAATGAGAAAGCACACACAGCATCCACTCAAGGCATGCCCCTGAGCTGGTAATGAGAAAACACACACAGCATCCACTCAAGGCATGCCCCCGAACTGGTAATGAAAAAGCACACACAGCATCCACTCAAGGCATGCCCCCGAGCTGGTAATGAGAAAACACACACAGCATCCACTCAAGGCATGCCCCTGAGCTGATAATGAGAAATCACACACAGCATCCACTCAAGGCATGCCCCTGAGCTGGTAATGAGAAAACACACACAGCATCCACTCAAGGCAAGCCCCCGAGCTGGTAATGAGAAAACACACACAGCATCCACTCAAGGCATGCCCCTGAGCTGGTAATGAGAAATCACACACAGCATCCACTCAAGGCATGCCCCCAAGCTGGTAATGAGAAAACACACACAGCATCCACTCAAGGCATGCCCCTGAGCTGGTAAAAGCCCCCGAGCTGGTAATGAGAAAGCACACACAGCATCCACTCAAGGCATGCCCCTGAGCTGGTAATGAAAAAACACACACAGCATCCACTCAAGGCATGCCCCCGAGCTGGTAATGAAAAAGCACACACAGCATCCACTCAAGGCATGCCCCCGAGCTGGTAATGAGAAAACACACACAGCATCCACTCAAGGCATGCCCCTGAGCTGATAATGAGAAATCACACACAGCATCCACTCAAGGCATGCCCCCAAGCTGTTCTGAGAAAACAGGCGCAAGCAACAGGGATCACTTGAAAACATTCCCTTTCTTTGAATTTTTAAAGTGCACTGGTGTATATCTGCACTTAAATTATTCCCTTCAATCATCAATAAATTCATGTACCATATTCGACATAATAAGCGCCCAGGGTGCTCTCAAAATTAGAAGTAGGGGGCTCTTATTAGAATATTATTTTGGTGAAAAACAACAGAGTTGAAAGTTTGTAAATTTCATGGTTTATGCCGACAGCCTGAAATGGTTATATACGACAGATATATTTTTTCCAGAATTTAATTTCCATAATTAAGGATGCATATAGCACACGTATTATACACAAATAAATAAGTCTTGTGTACATTGATCAATCGGAAGGGGTGCTAATTGGGATTGTTCACTAACCAATATATTAGCAAGTATCGCCGTGGGCGCTTATTAGAGCGGGGCGCTTATTACGTCGAATACGGTAACCACAGATACTTCTGCCTTTTTGCACGGAGTGCAAATGCATCAACATACCCCAAGACTCTTTCCAATCACTTCAGATTTAAACACAAGACATATAAGCTCTTTGGGCTTATCAGGTACAGATGCTCCTGGCTCTGGTTTGAGACTATTGGTCATATCAAACAGGTCATTGAATATGCTAATGCATCCATTGAAGATGCAAAAGTCAGTGTCATTGGTCAAAACAGCATAAGCATTTTTCATCGTCTCAAATGTTTTGGCAATAAAAGTATCTGCTTCCTCTGGCACGTTGTGGACTCTACAGCCACAGGCTTCCAAGGTACTTGTAAATTGCAAGGTGGTCAAATGTGAACCTAAAATGTGAGTTAAATCATCCCGACCAATGTCCCCAGCACACATTCTAATGGTATTTCTTTGAACCTCAACACAACCCTCATATCTTTCTTTCCAAACCGGCGTCTTTCGAACATTAACCTCCAGTGAACTTCCTTGGCAGCCATCCACAAAGAATATGAGTTCAATCCCAAGGCTTCTCAAATCTGATATCAATTTGGACGTATATGCATCAATTGCACCATATTCACCCCCTAAAATTTCAAGGTATGGATTGTCTGTGACATTTGCCAGGGCCTCAAAGATTTTACTGCTGAGGAACACTTGAAAGGCACAAAGGTCAACAAGAATGTCTATGCCATGTCGTTGACGAGCAACACGAATAAGGTCCACCAGCTTTGCACATGAAGACAGATTTTCTTTACAATATGTCCACAGACCTCGGACTCCCATGTTGGAGACAGAACATTACTCTGCACCTGGAAACAGAAACAAAACACAGTCATGGGCTGAGCAGCTCACCTTTTCTGGACCTACTTGCACAACACGATCTTAGCGCTAAGAAGATCATAACTCCCATACGTTAACAAAGGCTTACGACAGTCTAAGCACGAAGATAGCTTTGAGCAAGTGGGCCCAGGATTGTGAACACGGAAAATAGAATGCAATATGTCCAAACAAATAGTTGTTAATCTCAACCTACGAGTCCGAACCCAGTGTCTAAACTGCAAGGCAAAAGAACGTATACACTTGAAAATTGGATTTGAAATTGCGACCCCCAGTGTCTGAAACTAAAGGGCCAGCACAATTAAAAAACTGTAGGGCCAGTGGAAAAAAACTGTAGTCCCAAACACACATTTTAGCTGAAGCAGGGAGAAATAGACTTGCAATATAAATTACAAAACACAACCAGTCAACCAGAAGCTTTACTGATATCAAACAAGGAGTTTCCAGAGACTCTGTGGTGATAGTTGAAGGAAATCATTCATTTTTACGGTAATGAACATTTATGCTAACAATTTCATCACGTCCAGATTAAGCACCAAGGAAGCGAAAATTACAGCGATTTTCGGCAATTTTAAGACTTCATAATAGAGCTATCCACTAACTTATTATCCCCCGCCCAATGAAGTTGGGGGGATATAGAAATGGGCTCCGTCTATCCGTCAATACGTCCGTCCGTCACGTTTCGTTTCCGGTGCATAACTCATAAACTGTTCAATATTTTTTCATCAAACTTTGCAGGTCTGTCAGGTACATGCTGAACTGGTGCCTTTTACAATTTAGAAATTTTAGAATTTTTTATTTTTTACGTTTCCAGGGCAACAAGATGGAGGGTAGGGTTCATTTCTGGAGCATAACTCATAAACCGTTCAATATTTTTTATGAAACTTTGCAGGTTTGTCAGGTACATGCTTAACTGGTGCCTATTGCATCCCTTTACACCAATATACTCAACACGGAAGGCCTCCGTACAGTAGCTCAGGCCATTAGGCGCTTCAAACCTGACTGGTCCAATAGCCCCACAAGCTTACTTGTTTACAAGCTTTACTCAGACTTGTGCCATACAAAAACAATTTTGTCTTTAACAATGTACACTTTGTACAAACTGGAGGAACAGCCATGGGTACCAAACTGGCCCCATCATATGCAAACATTTTTATGAGAGAACTGAAAGAAAAACTTCTAAAAAAAACCCACTGATAGCCCAAACTTATACGTCAGATTTATAGACGACATTTCCCTCATTTGGACTCTGGGTTACACTAGGTTAGAATCTTTCATCAAAGAAATGAACCAATCACATCCCACCATTAAATTCACGGCCGAATTTTCCAGGGAAAAAGTGGCTTTCTTAGATACATGGGTCATATTTAACCAAGCTACCAACAAACTGGACTTTGACCTATACTGTAAACCCACAGATACACATTATTATCTGCTATATACCTCCTGCCACCCGCGTCACATCAAAGTCAAAGGACCATATAGCCAATTCCTCCGACTCAAAAATATATGCAGCTCGCAGTCACAATATGAGTTCCACAGTAATAATCTATTAAAGTACTACCTAAGGAGAGGTTACCCCAAGAAAATTCTCTTGGACAAAGAAACGAAAGCAAACGCTAAAGAGAGAATGTCCCTCTTATTACAAAAACAGTCACCCTCAAAAGACACTAAACCAGTGTTCTTTATCACAGATTACAACCCCACTGCACTCAAGGTTAGCTCTATGATCAAAAGGTCCTGGCACCTACTTCAAGGTTCAGACACCTGCAAAGACACCTTCCGGGTCCCGCACATCACGGCATATAGGAAGAACCGCACACTCAGAGATATCCTCATGAGACAACAATCACATATACCACCTAAACCACAAATCAGTGGCCGCACTGTGCCAAACCTAGATGACAGCTGTCACAAACAATCATGCAAAATCTGCATAGATATGAGTGAGTGAGTATGGTTTTATGCCGCTTTTAGCAATATTCCAGCAATATCAGGGCGGGGGACACCAGAAATGGGCTTCACACATTGTACCCATGTCGGGAATCGAACCCGGGTCTTCGGCGTCACGAGCAAACGCTTTAACCACTAGGCTACCCGACCGCCCCGCATAAATATGAAGCAGGTCAACACCTTCACCAGCCACACAACAGGCAAGACATATAAATGCCATTCGCATTTCACTTGCAAAAGCAGAAACATAATCTACTTGCTAAGCTGCACTAAACGTGGTAAACAATACGTAGGCGAAACCAAACGCCACTTCGGTACCAGACTCAAAGAACACTCTGCGGACACAAACCATCAGAGGGACAAACCTGTCGCTAAACATTTCAACTCCGAAGGTCACTCAACCAGAGACCTACACTATCAAATCATACAACAGCTCAAAACAGACCCTGAGTCAGCTCAGAGCACGGCTAGACGCCAATCCATTGAACTCAAATGGATATTTGATCTGAAAACCATCCACCCGCAAGGCATGAACGACAAGATCTAATCCTGAAATTCCCAACCCACTCACCTTCTGGGTGCCAATTGCTATTTAGAAATTTTAGAATTTTTTATTTTTTACGTTTCCATGGCAACAAGATGGACTTAGGTTCCAAACTCTTCTTTTTTTTACAATTTCCATGACAAGTTCCACCTCGGTTAAAAAAGGTTAGGGTTTGTTTTGATTTAATTATGTCATAAATTCTGCACCAGGGGCGGGGGATATAGCGACGTTAGTGGCAAATTCTTGTTGTCATTGTACCCTGAATATTTCTTTTTGGATTGTTAAAGTAATCGGAAAATGATGATAAGAACAAATTTAAGTATCATCTATGATCACACAGTTCCCGATAATAATAGCTTTCCCCTCACTGACATGAGAAAATACCGTGAAATACCTCCCGTTTTCGAAGCTATGTATAAATAACATGTGCCAAGATTCATTTCATGTTTGGTATCGTTTGTAAGCTCTGAACATCAATATTACAGTAACCTCGCCAGGAGTATATTCGTAGTTGTAACATGCGATCTTATTGGATAGAAATTGGTCTCCAATGACATTTTGACACAAACTTATATGAGGATCGTGAGTGATTAAAATCAAGAACATGACCTAAGGCAGCCAATAAAATTACAGCAATGGGTACTGTCTTCGTGTATGAAACATTTCAGATTTAGACGAAGGTGTTTGGTTAAATTGTGTTATTTTGAACATTTATAGCAGGAAACCGTGACATATGTTCAAAATATGGAAATTTGTGGACATATGCCAGGTTAAGACCTGTGACAAAGATTTCTCATCAATATATTTTGGCATCAACATCGTGTCCAAGCCTAAAAGCGAGGCAAGAAAGGGCGAGATGTCATTTGACTTTAAACGAAAAAAGTAACTCAGATGTAAGTTTGACATTTTATAGGAATATGTTGGTTGACTTTATTTAATACTTTATTTACTCTATTTATGCTGGATTGAAATGTCTTTATATTGCTTTTTGACATGTTCGATATGAACTCGTTGTCAAAGCATGTATCCCTCATTATTTTTTATCAATAACATTGCAGGAAATAGTTCATAATTTTAAAACCTATTAATAAAATATAATTTGAAATGAAATAGATATTTTCTGACTTTGTAAAAAGTGATAGATTTAATTAATAAATTAATATATCACAGGTAGGTTTATGTATTACCGTATTCGACGTAATAACCGCCCAGGGCGCTCTCAAAATTAGAAATAGGGGGCTCTTATTAGAAAATTATTTTGGTGAAAAAAAAACAGAGTTAAAGGATAAATTTTGAGGTTTATGCTGACAGCCTCAAATGTTTATATACGACAGATATATGTTTCCAGAATTTAATTGCCGATAATTAAGGGTGCATATAACACACAAGTGCGTATTATACGCAAATCAATAAGTTTTGTGTACATTGATCAATCGGAAGGGGTGCTAATTGGGATCGTTCACTAGCCAATATATTAGCAAATATGGCCGTGGGCGCTTATTAAAGTGGAGTGCTTATTACATCGAATACGGTTGATATTTTCTGACTTTCTGAAAAGTGATAGATTTAATTAATAAATGAATATATCACAGGTAGGTTAATGTATTATTTTGACGTGGCTACGTTGTGTGTGGAACACCGTGCTGCGATGTTGAAAGAGTAAACGAGCGGAGTACTTTGAAGCTGGATCCTGTTTCACCAAGCAATCTCAGTGTTATGATTCATTTACCATGTTTACAGCTTAAAATAAACTGCAGGCCATAAGGGTCTGCTGAAATTTAAAACAATCAGACTGAGAACAAATCTGTCGACCTCGGGCCAACGGGCCATTGTCTATTTCAAACAATGGACCCCCCATGTTCCTTGAGACGTCATGTGCATGTCGCCGGGGTAGTGTTTATGATCCGGCTCGGGCCGTTGGAGAACACAGACACAGGCAGATGATGATAATTTGTTTATTATAATGGGGGTGGCTGCTGTTGAACTATCTGAAGAAAAGAAAATGTCCTTCCTCCTCAACAGCAGCACATGAAGTCATATATTTGCAAGTTTACAGGTATCATTTATCTTAAATATATAAATACAAAAGCCATTTTATAACTATGGTAAAACTAACTTAAATGTTAAATTACTGTTATAAGTTCACTATAGGACACTTGAAAAGCACATGGGCCAAAATGGACCATGTGGTTAATTATTTTACAAACAAGTTTTATAATATTAATATTCCATTTACTAGTTTAATTTTACTTTAAATGATATTATATATATTATTCAATTTAATTCAGCACCCTAATATAGATATTAATTTCTAACAGAAGCAGATGAAAACAGATTGAAAAGGGGCCATTCCATACCTGAAGAAAAGAAAATGTCCTTCCTCCTCAACAGCAGCACATGAAGTGAGGAGGAAGTCAGGTATGGAAGGAAGCTACCTGTAGAGGACCAGGGTGGCCAATTAGAAGACAGATTGCA